GCCCTTACAAACTCTCCTAGGAATCCCCTAAATACTTAAAAGGAAAATCCCCCCTCCGTGAGAGGATGGGTAAAAGCTTCTTTACAGACAAAATGATGGATGTGATGACCTCTCAAGGTCACTTCCAACCTACGAATTCTATTGTTTGGATACTAACAACTGCAGCCACCAAGCACTTGAGTTTGGCCTAAGCCTGTGACTAACTTCCCAACAAAAAGTGGGGCGGAGCCATTGATAGGATTTTCAAAGACCACAGCAGAGGATTCCTGTTTCTTTCCTTTTTTACCATCTGTGGGGTTCTTTCCCCTTCTTTTTGCCCCTCCTTTTTGCATGTGTTGCATAGAAACAGAAAGTGCCTTTGTACCAATTACTAGGCACTAATTTACTCCCATCAGTAGGCGCTGGGCTTGCTGGAGAAACATTAGGGAAAGGTGGGAGGGTCGGATGTGGGGGTGGATTCCAGCAGCAGGAAGGCCTGTAATGCAGCTAGCTTTTTTCCAAGCCTGAGAACAGCCAAGGGGGAGGGGGAGAAAACCTGGAAAATATGGAAGTCAAGACTGACAAAAACGACAAATCTGCTTTTATGAAAAAATCAAGAAGGCTAATGATCAGAAAACAGATGACAAACTAGAAAGCCAACTCTGACCAGGGCACATGGGATTGTTTTAGGGGCTCCTAAAAGAGAGAATACTGGGAAATGAGCCACCTACCTTTCTCCTCACTGGAACTTACTGAGGAAGACCATTGTCAGCCACTTTCCCAGTATGTCATATGCTATTTCTCTCTCTGGGAAGTTCAGACTGGGGATTTCTCACAGACATTGTAAAATGACTAGTTCCTGGTATAAGCGTCAACAATTGAGTCAGGAATGTAAATCTGACCCTGATAATCAGAGTTCACATGCATTCCCCTTAGGTTATATCTTTGTATCTGAAGGTAATGGGTTGTTACCATCAAAACACACTAGAGTCACTGGAGTACCTACCCCTTCTCTACCATTCCCCAGGGACCTGGGGTGCTCCCCTCTCCTTTCCACTGAAGATTTGAGAGGAAAATCACAGGAAACAGTGTTTGGTCTCTGTAGTTTTACTCCACTTGTGAAACAGTAATCCTGCCAGTAATGGAAGCTTTTGTGAGGCAGCCCTCCTTTGTCTCTGCTAGGACAGCAAGCAGAGCATGAGGGAGGAAGAGTGGGTGAGGAAGAGCAGCAGCTGACCCTTGTTACCTCAGGGACTAGAATAAGGAGCTGTAGGGTTCCCCTACGGGCTTTAATCCCTGGATGAGATTCTAGCAGCCACTTGGGGCTGTAACAGCCTGTGACACATCCTTCCGTGCAATCACAGGTCTCTGAGCATCTTGTCTGAAATCCTGAAGCAGGCTTTACAGGACATCCTTGCAATCCTAAGAAATTCTTAGTAATTAAAGGGAAAGAGTGGAAGAGGCGCAGAGCAGGCCAGGCATCATGTAAGGAAAAAGTTTAAATTTTAGTGTCAGGGAAGGAACATCCCATCTGAGTTTGAGCTGGCCAATGACAGGCACCCTTAGAAAGGCTGAAAAACCTATTTTCCAAACTAGAGGATGATTTCCAGGGTGGGGGGGCTTTTTCTTTCGTATTGGGTTGTTACTATAGGGATTTAAAGGTCTCCACTTAGGACAGCTGACTTAAGTCCCTCCAAAAAGCCTAAAATTGCAGGTGGCATGGGAATAAGGCCCAAAGTTTTTACCTATCTCAGCTGACTCTGAGGGCTTTTGGTCTGGTATTTGGATGCAATTGTTTCCTTCCCCAAAAGACACACCCATCCTAGCCCACCCCACCCCCATGCTCTCAACACAATATACATATACTCTGTGTGCAGGATAAGTGCAAAGTCAGGAAACAGGAGACATTTGAAGCTGGTTGCATTTGAAAATAATAAGCCCGAAGTACTCTAATGTGTCTAATTGTTAATCTGAAAAACAGTAATCATAGACGTGTCCAAAACTTATGGAACTAAAAAGGGCATATTTGTACATTTTTTCAAATTACCAATGAAGCCACTGCTTAAACTTCACTGAAAAGATCTAGAAGTCAAAGAAACAAATTGAGTATTGAGCACTGAATTAGTGTAAATTAATAAACTGCTTAGACATAAGTTTATCATATGTTTACTAACTGCGAGGACACCTAATTACAGATAAACTATAAAATCCAGCATGGCTTGAGGGTGTAGTGTATGTGGAATTCTACCAGATGTGTTGCCTATGTGATTTTACCTTTGCAAAGAATCTAGGAGTTCTGTGAGGGTAGCCTAACTTTGGATTAAGAAATTGAGGTTTAAACAAAACAGAGGTTGTAAATTTAAGGGACACTGCCCCATATTGAAGGGGAAAAAAAGGTGATTTCAAGCCAATTGCTGTTAGACAGGAATTGAAGCCTGGTATTGCCAGATCATTCGATTTTTCCAGAGAAGTCAGAAATTTGGATTTGTGCTGAAATCCTCTAACACGTAGATATTGGTAACTGATTGTTTATAAACCCTGTGTTGACCAATCCAAACAAGTCTGCAGAACAAATTCTGCAACAATTTCCTTTCCAAACTTAGAATTCAAGTAATGTGTTTAAAGTCTCATAAGTAGAAACGGGGTCAAATTCTAACCTCAAAGTCCACCTCAAAAATTGTCAGGAAACTTATAAAAGATGCTGCACTGAGTTTAATGAAATTTAATTTAAGTGACAACTTTTAAATCCACTGGATCTACAGCAATGGCAGCTGTCTGAGGCTCAGAGGTAATCAAGTAGCAGGAGGGATTCCTGTTGGACTACACTGAGCAGGGGGGTGTGGCTGGAATTTTTTGCTCTTAAAATGTTCACAGAATGCAGCCATTCCAACTGTTATATCTGGTCCACCTTCTGGAATAATACCAGCAAATGAAAATCAGAAAGCTCCTTACCTCACCCAAAGGACGATCTAACTCAAAGCTGTATCCGAAGCTTCCAAATGCGGAAGACCTCCTACATTTCTCTTATTTAGAATGTACCTAACACATAGCTTCTTTAGTGGGAGTAGATTCTGATAATATTTACAGAGGCTGAGGTTTTTAGTTCCACCGTGTCCTGGCATTACTGAGCCCACCAACAGAAAGAAGACACTTGCAACCACAATCTCACTAAGTTTCAAAAGACTAAGTGTAGCATTTAAAATGGGATTAGCATTTCACTTGCTTTCCACTCTTGACTGTGTGAAAGGTTCTCCTGGAACATCTGAGTCGACTTGCCTTCTGGAGAATTCAAGAACACACACATGCACGCACACACAAGCGGCCATTTCTATAAATGCCTGAGAAGATCACTGAGCCGTGATGGCTGGGCATCTTTTTACTGAGCTCATCAGGCTCAGGGACTCACAAGAAGCGCAGCAGGCCTTCCCAACTGCCGGACTAGGCAGCTCCTTGAAGGAGAAAGTGCCTTTGCTCAAGGTGGCCGTGGGTGTCGACATGAACAACTGAACTCCGGGAAGGGAACATGGCTGACGTGGCCAGGCCCGCCCAGCAGCTCCTGGTGAGTAACACCCTCGGGTGGAGAGACCCCTACTTCACCCTAGGAACCGCATGAAAGGTCACATCCCCAATTCAAACACACATCTTTTAACAACCTTCCAGATACAAACTTTAAAACATTGCTTTCTGGCAACCTAGATGACAATCCCAAACAGAACCTGAATTTGTCTTAACCCAAAGGATATGCGGTTGACGCCAGTGCCGGCAGCCACCTCCACCAGAAGCGCTTTCCAAAGGAAATAAAATATGAGATACAGTTAATGAGGGCCTTTCTTTTAAAGAGCAACGCCAAACCAAACCAATTGTCATTTTAAAACCACAGGCCCCGGGGGCCTTAAAAGTGTCAAACAACCACACCAAAAAAAGACAGTACTTTTCCAAGTGACTGCAGCAACAACCCTTAAAGGTGGGGACACAGGACAGAGGGAAAGAGAAAGCTGCAACCCAGCACCCACCCCCTTAGCATAGACGCCATTCTTAACCTTACTGAAGAGGGAAAAAAGCATACCCCACTGAATGCTGTCCAACTTTTTCCCTGAGTTTGTTAAGCACAACCAACAGCACTGTGGACCAAAGTCCCTGTAAATCTCCAAAATCCCATTTATACCTCAGCCGTCTTTCTAACTACATTTGCTGGGCCAGCCCTCTCTCTTGCCCCCCACCCCCCTGGGGAGAGATCCCTCTATTGGGCTGCCAGCAGGACCTAACGCTCATTGCCCAGCCATGACCTCGGGCAAGGACCACACCTCCTCCCCGCAGCTCGTTCAGGGGTGGAGGGTTCGACCTTAGGAAGAAGAAAACACCAGCTCTGAAGTCTTTCTCCTGAAAAAAGCTAACTAGTCGCAAAGTTAACCCACCAACCATCACTTGGTCGAAGTCCTCTGCTGCCTGAAGCAATGTTATTTTAAACCTCTCTGGGGACACTACGCCAAATTTAAAACCACCTTTACAAGCCCTGAAAAGTAGCAAGCGTACAGATAAATGAGTCCTTAGTCATCCCTAAAAGGTTCCAAGGAAAGTGTGCCGCTTCTCTCCAGGTTTCAGCCACTTCGCTGCAATCCCACGAGAGAATTAAATAAAAGACGCCATTTGACTCCCCACCCCTGCCAGCGTCGGCCCCGGGTGGGTGGCCCCACCGTCGCAGGGTGCGGGAGTCTTGGGGGCGGGGCGGGCCAGGGGAGGGGCGGCACCACTCCCCTCGAGGCCGCGCACGGGGGCTGGCACTCAGCACTCACTCTGCCCGCCAGTTTAACACTCTCCGCGGGTTCTAGAGGCCGGGGACAATTAAGGCGAGAGGGAATCTTCCGCCTCTACACGGGTCAATTATTTAAAGAGCTAAACAGCACCTTACCCAAAATGTTCGCACCCTTAAGTCAAACACGGTGTCCATAACGCCCAGGGAAACTGCCCGGCCAAAGATTAACCAACCCCAGAGCTGGGTGGGAGAGGGAGACGCCGCTAACCTGTATGCACTCTGTAATGGGCTTTGAGATGGGAGGATTTTCCATAGACTTTCCCACAGCCACTGTAGGGGCACTTGTGCCTCTTTTCGGAGGCGTGTTTCCCCTTCGCAGCCACTCCAGGGTGGAGGAGGGAAAGCGGGCTGGGCGCGCTGCCAGGATCCTGTCTCTCCTCCGGGCTGTGGGAAGGACTCGACCCAGATTCGGTGGTCACGTCGCTGTCGGATCCTATATCCTCATCCGGACTCTCCAGACTGTCGCTGCACACCGAGGGGGTCTGGATGGGTCGGTACTTGTTCAGATCCAACAAGCTCTTGGCGATGGTGACCAACGTGCAGTAATCCTTCCAGGTGTCCCCCGGGTCACCGTGTTCCTTGGTCACCTCGCGCTCAGGTAGTCGCAGCCGCTCAGCGTCCGGAGCACCCCCATGCTCCGGCACCGCAGCGCGGTTCGAAATGGAAACCAGACACTGGGCAGCCACGAAGTCCATGTAGGCGGCCGCGGACATGGTGCGGGCGACAGAGCCCCGGCGGCGCGGCCAAACTTGGCGGTGGCTGCGGAGGTTCGGCTTACCCTGCCCTCGCCTCGGACGACGAACGCGGCGCAGCACCGCGCGGCGCGCCGGCCAAGGGGGCGGGGGCGCGGGGCGCTTCCGACTCGCAGGAGCGCCGAGGCGACCTCAGCCCCTCATCTTTACGTAACCGGCAGCGCCTCCGCACGCAGCATCCACGGCCCCGGGCTCCGCCGCGCTGCCGCCTCTAGCCGCCGCCCCTGCCCGGCACCGGGGGCGATCCCCCCGACGGGCGCGCCGGCCGCTCTGAGCCGGATCCCTTGGAAAGATGCCACACGTGGCAGTCGCAAGTTTATTCGACTGCAAACGCCCCCGAGGCGCTGGGAGAGGAAACTGCAAGAGAGGTACACGCCCTCGGCCGCCTCTCCGTCGATCCGAAGCCCCAGGAATTCACCCGACCACCCGGACGCAGGTGGCAAGGGCCGGACCAAGCGCCAGGTCTAATAGACACTTTCTCCCCAGTCCACTGACAGCTTCTGTGCCCCTGCTCCTGGCGGTCCGCACCGTTCCGGCATTCTCTTGCTCAGTAACAATTTTGCAGAATCCCATCACGTCACAATCCAAACCCCCTCCAATTGGCCAGTGGGGAGGGTGATTCAACTCTGTTTACTTTCTCCCCCTGCCAGTCAGAACTGCCTTTCGGTGGAGAGGTGCGTCTAGAACTGAGGCGTGCGGCCAATCCGACTGTTCGGTTTCGATGCCTCGTGCTACCCCTACAGCCTCCAACGCTGACATTTAAAAGGGTAACAGCCGGGAGGCTGGAAAGGAGCTGCCGCTCATCTTCAGGAGTGCCTCTCGGTTTGGTAGCTGGTGCAGGCCTCCTGGCTCACATTCCAATTTGCGGAACTGTGGGACGCACCTTCCCTAGTCAGTTGTGCCCATTCTTATGACAAAAAAGAACTCCAGCTTCGGGTTTCCAGCTCGCAAACAGTTAAGTGACTTCCTGCAAACGCTACAGTCCCAGCAACCAGCCTTCCAATCAAAAGTAAGTTGGTTGATGTCACTGACATTGACTCGGCCAATCAGAAGGGCGTTCCGAAAGCTAGCGCTCACCACTTGTAAACGCGAAGAGCTGTAGTGAAACTGGATGCATTCTTGCATTTTGTGTTGCTGGCAGTAAAATTGACATATGTAGGGGAACACAGGGGTGACGAATAAATACAGTGCGAATCTATAATTAAAATTTTTTTTAAAAAAAAACCACTACCCTGATTATGTCAGGCCAAGTTGCCTTGCTTAGTATAAACACAAATAAGAAAATATCAATTAGTCCTCCTACCGTCCCCCCAATTTCTAAAGGCAGCAAACTTTGAGACATAGGTTAAATAATTCTTCCATCCAATGAATTATGACCAATTCATCTTTAAATTGCAAAACTGACAAAACTTCTATTTCAAAGTGCAGTCTAGCTACTCTTACATTGAAACATCTCACTTTTTCTTTGGTGATACCTCGTTTAATTCCTCTCCCTCCCTGGTACAACTTACTTTAGGTTATCTTTGTTTTGAAGCTGTTGTAAGCCACCTCAAATAACTAGAGATAAAGTCCCTCATTTGTAGACCTTTTTTTTTTAAAAGGTCGCTGTTTTAGTTCATTTTCGTTCTACAATCCCTAATGGCTGTTAGGATGTATTCAAGGTCCTTCCCTGGCTGCATAAATGTGTGAACTGTGATACTGAGGAGTGACAAGTCACAATCAAAACCACGTATCTCCTGATTTCTAAATCTTTGTGTTTTACAACTGACCTCCTTGGTTTTGTGACACATTAACTGTGTGAAACAAATTCTTAAAAACTGGAACTGGCCAGAGTTCCTTAGCTGTTGACTATTGTGATAGTACTTGCTAACAATTCATTTGGATCTTCCTGGAGGCTCATTAACTCCGATACTTCTCGGAATGAATCAGATGGGGTGGCTTTTCTTTTTAAAAAGATTTATTTATTATCATACAAGAATTAGGGTGCAGCACAGACGTGCAGGGGGTAAGAGGACTCACCAGAAACAGAGTGGGGAGCAGAACAGTCAGATGTATTAAAATACACTGCTGAAGGGAGCAATGGGTGGGTCAGGAGAGGGCTGCTATGCTCATGGGCCACCTCCCTGGCCAGAGATCAAACTTGTGCTGCAGTGGCTGTGGATAGCTTCCTAGTGTTGTGCTTTAACCTGTTGTATCACCAGAGTGGGCCCAAGGGTGGCTTTTCATCTTGATGGCTAAGAAAAGAATCTAGGGCCAGGTCTCTTGCAGGAGACATGCTGGCAGCATACATTTACTTTCCTAACTAGGATTGAGAGATGCCCGTTTCTATGTAGCACAGATCCAGTGAAGTTCAGTTATGACCCCACTGGCTTTTAGGCTTTATTTAAAGTTTGGGAAAGTTACATCTGATTCCTGGTCTCCAAAGAAAGGGTTTCCAAATTAACCTTTCCAATTCACAGGTTATTGGAGTGGATTTTGACTTTGCTTTTAAAACAGCACAGGAAGATATTGCAGGGTGTGCCTATTTGGGAAATAGTTTAAAAAGGAGTGTTTGTCAGCCAAGATCATCATGATCACCATCATCATTTATCCCTGCCCCAAGCCCCCAGGATTTAGTCAGTGCCAGGCCCCATGCTAAGTACTCTACAAGAAACTTCGCAACCCTATAGGGGAGGTACCTTATCATAGCATGTAAAAGCAACATCACCTTACATTCTTACATTCTAATCCCCTTAATTTTAGAAAAGAATTCACTGAAGCTCAGGGGAATTTGCCTACTTCATGATTTTTCTAGGACAGACTCTGTCCCCAAGGATACACAATCACTTAGAAATTGCACCTGTCTGTGCTTCTTTCAGGTATTTGTGACCACAAATACTACAAATCTCTCAGGTCACTGTGGTAAGGGTCTGTACAGTCTCTCAGACTTACATGGTAACTGGGTACTCTCGGGTAGCTCTAGAGATAACATCAGGATTATTCTAGAACAGTGGAAATCTGTATCTTTCCTTGAAGTCTGTAATCCAAGAACTGGAATTTAAAAATTATCATAGTTCTTAAATATATATAAAGCTTCCCTTCTTTTACCGTTTGCCTTCTTTTCTTCAACTCCTATTACCTTTTTTTTGACTAGACATAAACCCTGAACTCAGAATAGCAATTTCATGTACTTAAATTTCTCTCACATATTTACAAACATAACTTCAGCTTTGACTCTATTTTGAGTATCTTTTTAAACTCAGCAATTCTAGAATTGTAGAATGATTTCTTCTTTTCCACTCATTCATTCTCCAGACATGTTACTATCAATGAGCTGCACAAGTGCAGAATATAGACCTGAAAAAAGACTCTTCCCTCAATAAGGCTTATTTATTAAAATAAACATGTATAACTATGTATCACAACAGGCGGATAGTTCAGATAGCTCCAACATTAGGATTTTTTCCAGCCGCGGGATCTCTTTGCTATGTTGTGATACATATTATAATATTTTTATGATTAAAACCAACTTATGCTGTTTTGCCAGTATGTGGTTGTCCCAATTAAAAAGCTGACAAAATAAATTATTCCAAATTAATATGAATCATTCCTAGTTAAACTGAATAATTTACCAGTATATACTATGCTACATAAAATGTAAGTAGTCTGTTTTCCCCCAGTTAGTCTTTGTAAATATGCATTTCAAGTTCATATAAACCAACTGGGAAGAACATAGGAATTCAGATCAAAACTCCTAGTTTATATGTATACATTTGCTTCTCTGAGTTCTGCCTAAAACTTGGCTTTATTATCCAAATTCTCAAGAACAGGTTTATGAGCCTGTAACTAGAATATAAGCCTTGTTTGATGTGCATCCTAAAATAATGATTATCACATTTCACCCCTGATAAGAGGTAGTAGGGGACAGGCTTGTGTTAGTCCAGCATGGGGGAAGGAAAAGAGCAGGGCAGGGAAAATGAGTGTAGGGAACAGCTTAGAAATGTTCCCTTATCTGAAAATTGATGGGATTAGATGAATACCTCTCCATAATCCTTCCAAACACCAAACTCTAGGGATTCCCTCCTCCCAAAAAATCCTAGGGGAAAACTCAACAAAGCTTGATTGGGTTCTTTAAGCATCACCTTATCGTTCCAGCATCCACAAACACGGTTCTTTGTGGCAGTGAAGATGAGAAAAATTTAATCAGTATTTAATGGGGTAGCATTCATGGGATAGGCACAGATACATATGTCTAAAACTGGTTATTCCTTTCTTAATTTCATGGTCACCATTTTTCTTTCTTTAAGTTAGTTTGTGGGAAGTGGCTCTGGGACTCAGAAAATCCCATCTTGTTCCAGGGAAGTTTTCTACCCTAACACAATGGTAGGTATGTCCATCTCTCCCCCACTGGGGGGTTTTAATTCCAAGGCACCTCTGACAGAGTCTCCCCAACTCTCCATCCAGGTCGAGCTAATCACCAGGTGTTTTAAGATCTAGATTGCCAGGTCTCATCCCAGCCTACAGCCATGAAGGTTTAGGTTAAAAGCGCACGGTGTAGATCCTGGGTTCTGCCAACTCTGGCTTTTCTCACTTTTTCCTGCTGGGAGGCGTGGACGGTGCTGGGCAGAGTTGCCAGTCTCCAGGCGGGCAGGAAGGAGAACAGATGGCCTGCTGGGGTAGAAGATCACATGTCAGGCCTCACTCTGGGCTGGCTGCAGGCTTTTTTCAGTAGCCAGGCCCTTCATTTTCGGCGACCCCACTTAGCCATTGGGACTTACTGGGAGCAGTGTACCTTAGGGAAGGCTGGGGATTTAAGGGCAGGTAGCGGGCTTGGGGAGGGTAAAGGCGGAGCTCGAAGGATCCGGCTTCTAACAGTGGCCACGAGCCTAGATTTGAAACATAATCAGGTAAAGCCCTAACTGGTGCAATGTCCGTCGCTGTGAAGACAGCTAACACCCCGGGGCTGAAGAGGGTGGGGAACTCCAGCCCACGAGAAAACTTGCACGACGCCCTACTTTGCTTTCGCTCCACTTAACAGCTTTCCGCAAAACTCCAAGCCTCTCCTTAGCGGAGCAGAAAGGCCACCCGTTCATGCATATGCAGAAGGATAAGTTTAGCTCGCAGCCCCCAACGCACAGAGAAGCCCCGCGTAGCTCACTGTGAATCACCCGCGCTCGGGGGCGGGCGCTCGGCTCCGGCCGCAGACTGGCGGGCGGCGCAGCCACTTGCGGGCCGCGCGCCCGGGTCTGGCATCGCCCTTTTAAAAAAGTCTTCCGCAGGCGGCCGCCGCAGCGGCAGCCGGAGGAGGCGAGTTCATCTGAGGACAGTCCCAGTTCTCAGAAATCCCTTCCCTGCTGGAACATCAAGCTCCCTTTACTGCAGTTGAACAAACTGCCCTAGATTGGGGGATGAGGAACCCGCCCCAAACTCGTGCAAGGAGCTCCGGGCGCCCGCGCCCACGTGAGCTAACCTTGAAATTAGCCCCCGCACCGCGAGGGGGGCGGAGCGGGCGGGAGGGGATGGGAAAGGGCGAGGGCCGGTTGCTGGCCTCTTGTGGCCCTAGGCCTTGGGTATGAGCCTTCCGCGTGCGCGTACAGTCCCCCCTACCCTGTTTCATAACTCCAGTGGTTTTCTTTCTTTCTTTCCTTTTTTTAAACTACCAGATTGTGTGTGTGTGTGTGTGTGTATGTGTGTTTTGGAGGAGGCCCGGGAGACACCTTTTCCATCCCCCACGCCTGCAAGAGAGGAAAACTTGTCCCACAGGCCCCCCTTTGGGAACACTGCGGAGTAGGGTGACTAGATGACATCAGCTTCTAAACATAGTCCGCAGCGCTCCGCACCCCAAGTCTGAGCGCCACCGACAAGGCTTGAGGAGGGGGGAGAGCGGGGGAGGCGTCTGCTGCTGTCCGCGGGCGAAGCAGGCCGGCGGGTCTGTGCTGGGGATGAGATGACTTTGCAGGAATTGTGCTCGGCACAGTTTTGCAGGCAAATCTCTCCCGCGATGGTCAGGTCACGGGGTTAGGAAACATTCCTGGCATTCTGCGATTCCCTGCTTCACAAAAGCCACACACACGTACACACGCAGCCCTAGGAGCAAGTGCGCCTTTATTTCTAAATTAACGCAGCCCCTGGCCTTAGCACCCAGGTTCCGCCCGCCTGGGGTAGCTCCCGCGCCCTCCAGCCCCAAGCCTGCCTCCGGGCTGAGCCCGCGGTGGGGTCGGC